CCTAATCCCTAATCCCTAAACCCACTTATTATGGTAGTTTACTTCAAATGCTTAGCAGCAACCCCGCTTCTCATAGCGTGTTTCCGAGTGTCTAGGTCTGCTAGCGGGTATGACTGTACTAGGTCAACGGGTTTGGGGTTCAGGGTTTGGCGGTGTAAGGGTTTAGAGGGTTTCGGGTTAGGGGTTTGAAGTTTCGGGGTTTAGAGCTTGAAGGATTAGGGGTAAAGGGGCTTAGGGTTTTGACCACAATTCTCCAGGTGAGTCATCACACAAATAGGGGTCTTACAAACAAGAGGCATTTGGTTCTCCAGAGATACATTGGGATTTGCAAGAGGATTATAGGGGTCCTTTTTTCGGTTTGTGAGGGGATAAGTTCGAGAAACCCCACCTTATGTGGTCTTCCGACCGGCATTACATGAGGATGCTACCGAAACTAACTTTATCTTGTGGTCACTATCAGTGGGCAGCCTTACACTGAATGTACATACATAACATAGCAGAACATAGCAAAACATATATTTTAACATGACACAACACAACATAACATTCCATAACATTCCGTTACATTCCATAGCATTTCGTTACATTCCATTCAATTCCATGTCATTACACCGCAGTACATACAGCGCGTACATATACATATACATATACATATACATATACATTTACATTTACATATACACACACATACGCATACACACATACACATACAAAAACACATACGTATACATATACACGTATACATATACACATACAAGCACATGTACATGTACATGTACGTACATACATACACATCCATACATCCTTACATACACAACAAACACCTTGCCAGTGGAACGCTGCAAGCTGGGTGTTTCCCAAATCCAGCTTCCAGTAAATCAACTGTGGGTGGGCACCGCTCATGCCAGACCGCTAGCAGGGATTATAGGGATGATATTCAGTCTATATAGGGGTTATAGGAGATAGAGAGAGAGAGAGAGATAGATATGTATATAGAGGGGCTATATAGGGATCATAGGGTATATAGTTGGGTTAATAGGGATCATAGGGTATATACTGGGGTTATATGGGGATAATGGAAAACGAAATGTACATTACTACGATATAAATAGGGATGTCCTGTACATCGTTTGTCGTAGGGTGCAGGGCATCCCAAGGCTTTGTCAGACCAGGACATACGGAGATTCATTCCTTTGTGGTACATATACAATATACGGGTTTAGGGTTTAGGGTTCAGGGTACTGGGCTCATATCCAACAAACCGATTACCTGAGATTCCTGTTTGTTTTTGGGAATGAAGCATTTGAATTAGTATTCGAATCTAAGCGTTTCCAAGGCGTTTCCAGGCATTTTCTTTGCAGAAACCCTTCTCTGGCTTCCTAGCCTAAACCGTAAACCCTGACCCCTAAACCCTGAAGTAAGCCATAAACCACCCTGAACCCCAAGCCCGAGGGCAATGTTTAGGCATTTCGTTAGCCTCTAAGCTGCTCCACACCCTAAACTCTAAGCCCTAAACCCTAAACCTTAAACCCTAAACCCTAAACTCTAAGCCCTAAACCCTAAGCCCTAGACCCTAAACCCCAAACCCATGGATATACTTACAGGTTTAGGGTTTAGGGCTTACTGGTTGTTGTAGGTGGGAATAGGCAAAAAAACGACATGAAACCTACTATTTCGGGCTTCCCGGATCCATATTCGTCCCGATAGTCTTTTTACAGGAGTTTTCGTGAACCTTTCCATTCCCTAAGCTGTAAGTACAGCTGTAAGCTCTAAATCGTGTATAGTAGTTCCCATCTTTCCCGTCCTTCATTGCATGCTCACAGCTAGCAAGCTCCATACACCTATAAACCCCAAAGCTCGTTTCCATGTCATTTCCCGTTTTCTTTGCATTTGATTTGCCAATGTTGGCGTAGTAGATCCCCAAACCTTCACCCCTCCACCTTAATCCCTTAACCGTAAACCCTAAACTTTAAACCTTAAGCCCTAAACCCTAAACCTTAAATCCTAAACCTTAAACCCTAAACCCTCAGGCCTTAGAGGAGAACTCTTCTGAAAGCTTGTGCCAGGTGCCAGCCAAGCCCAGAAGAAGTCTGCCGGACCCACTTCCAAGAAGCAGGCCTGATGAGTAGTATCCTATTTGAGTAGTATTTTATTTGGGTATATTATGGTACCCAATATAGAGTAAGATTATATCCTCCTTTTGGGGTATAGTATTTATCTTACTAGGTTCAACCACCAAAAAACACTACTCATTTGGGGTTCTTATAGTTCCACCCCTAGGCCCTAAACCCTGCGTAAAGCCTACATAAAGATTAAACCCTAAACCTTGAACCCCCAGCCCTAAACACTACACTCCACACCCTACATCCTAAAAGCTCTGCGTTTTACGACCTAATGCTCATGAGGTAATTTCGGGAAGCAGGTTATTGGCTACAGGGGATGTTAGGGTTCAAGGGGTTTAGGGTTTAGGGTTTTAGGTTCTGGGGGTCTCGGAGTGTAAGGCTTGAAATTTAGGGGTTCAGAGCCTTTGGATTTAAGTTCAGGCTTTTGGGCTTTAGGCCTTTACGGGTTAGGGTTTTGGGTTTTCGGGGTTACGGGTTTAGGGGTTTAGTTTCTTAGGGCTTTACGGGTTAGTCAGGGTTTCGCGTTTAGGGGGTTTAGGGGCCTAGAGCCTTAGGGCGTTGTGGCTTTGCCCCGCAACCCCGGCGTCCCTACGGGCCCTGGCAACTTGAGGGTCCGGATCTCACCTCGATATATGTACATCCTTCTTAGTCCTTACATATCCCAAATACGTAAGGAGTTGTATATGTATAGGGGAATTGAAAAACTGAAGCTACTATGCATTGAAAGTTTAGGTTCTTGGGGTTTGGGCAAATACAACAATACGACCCCACCCCTAATATGGACTAATGAAGGCACCTGCACCCAAACCCTGTAGCATTGGAAACGGGGGATCTTCCTGTTGAACTCATCCCAAATTTTTAAGCCCGCAGACGGCGCTAGCCTCAGATCCTGAACCCTAAACCCTCTAGCCTAAACCCCAACCCGGAACAAGGTAACTGGAACAATAATAAACCTGAAGGCCCACGACCCTGCGAAAATTGCCAACTTCAAAGAGACCTGCGAAGATGTGCTCAAGGACAGACATGGAAGTTTCAGAGATTGAGAGGTATCTGTTTAGGGGTTTAGGGTGTTAGTCCCAAACCCTAAACCCTAAACCCTTAGTGTTAATGGGTTGCTGTGGAGTTCGCTGCGACAAGCGGGAACCTCCCTAAAGCCTAAACCGTGTTGGGACAAGTCCGCATGCCCAGCATCTGGGACCCTAGACCCTAAACTCCAGAGCTTCAGTTCTGGACCTTAAGCCCCTAAAACACAAAACCTGAGTCCTGAATACCCTAAACACCTTAAACCCGAAACCTTATCCCAAAAGGGCGGAATGGTCCTGGTTCCGACAAGATACCCATCTTTCGAGCTCCTTGATCCCACAGGAGGACTCCAACCTCGACAAGCTTGTGGATGAGGTTCTTGTTGCATGAGATATCCTACCTGAAAGGTCAGGGGATTTAGACCCTAAACCCTTAAAATAATGCGGATAACTAGAATCATTCTTCAGCTTGTAGGGGTGAGATGTATACATACTAAGTCCCCCTGACCCTCCAAATAGGATTTAGGCGTTCGGTTTGAGGGTGTTGCAGTTTAGGGTCCTCAAGCCTAAGCCCCGTGACTTGAGAGTTTCTGGTTTAGGGCTTGCGGTTCAGGGCTGTGGGGGTAAGACGTAGGTTCTAGACGGTACGCCGTAAGGTTAAGGGTTTGTCGTTTGGGGCTCGGGTTTCGGTTGAGGATTTAGGGTTTAGGATTAGAGGTTTATGGCTTAGGGTCTAAGGCCTAGAATCTAGGATAAAAGGGCTGCGGTGGAAGGTTTAGGGGTATGGATTTAGGGCTTAGGGTGTGGAATGTAGGGCTTAGCTTCAGGAATTAGGAATTGCTGTTAAGGGGGTGGGGTGTGGGGTAGGGGTACCTTGTTGCATATAATGTCAGCACTTCCAGAGATGGAGGAGGGTCCTTTGTTATTAGGGTTTAGAGTTTAGGGNNAGGGTACCCTAAACTCTAAACCCTATATTACCGCTGTATAAACCTCCATATATACCCCATTGTAGTACAGCATGCAAGCAGTGATGATTAGGTTCGAATGTCCCTTCAGGCGCATGGCGCTGTGGCCCGACTGTGGCTGCCCATCTTACACGAAACGACTATACTGGGGGCTATATAGGGTTTAGGGTTTAGGGTTCCATGCCCTCCGAGAAGCCACCCAAACCCACTCCTTCAAGGCCCTTAGTTCCTAGACCCTAAACCCCAGCCCTAGCCCCCTAAAGCCGGAAACCCCAACCAACCCCTCAAAACCGAACACCGAGTTGACCTGCACGCGGAGGGTATCCTAACACCCTTGAGGCCTCAAATCCGAAACCCTTAATCTTTTTAGGGTCTAGGGTTTGGGGTTTAGGGTTTAGGATGCAGGATTTGGGGTTCAGGGTTTAGGGCTTAAGGTTCAGGATTTGGGACCCGTAAAGTCATCGAAGCCCTTAACATTTGTGAGCTGCTAAAACTTCCGAAGTCTTCTGGCCCTAAACTCTGGGTCCTGGATTTAGCACCTTCAAAGAACTCCCTTAAGACCCTTAAAGCCTTAAACCCGCTACCAAAAGGCCTTACACCCTAAACCCTAAACCCTAAGCCCTAATAGCCTAAACCCTAAGCCCTAAACCCTATAAGCCCTATCAATCCCGTCTAGCCCTTAAAGCCCTAAGCCCTTGGAAGCGATTGAAGCCCAAAACCCTGGGAACCCATAAGAGCTATAGTCTTAACTCCTTAAAGGGGCTCCAGCAGCCCAACGTTTTTTTTTTTTGGTGAGAAACTCTTTTAGGGTTTAGGGTTTAGGGTTCCGCAATCTAAGCTCCTTAAAGGGGGTTATATACGGGATTATATAGGGGACTCGCAGAGGGGTGATTATGGGGGATACTAGGAGTTTAGACTATAGCTCATAAACCTTCTTGCTCTAAACCCTTTTAACCTCGACACCTTGAAGGCCTATCCGCTCAGAGCCCTTAAAGCCCTGAACCCTTAACACCCGTGAAGCAGGTAGAGGATATCCTCACTGACAACGAGCTGTGCACCGTACATCCTATGGCCGGTCTCGTGGACTTACTTCTGCGGGAGAGCCGTGGGAAGGAGGACTTGGGGGGCTTGGGTTTCAGGGGTTTAAGGGCGAGGGGTGCGGGGTGCAGGGTGCAGGGTTTGGTGTATTTGGGTGTACAGGGTCCAAAAAACAAGGGTTTGCCTGGTAGCTTTGTACTTCTCGTGGGGTTTAGGGTTAAGGGGTTAAGGGTTTAGGGGACCTGCATGCTTGACCATTGTGTAGCCAGTATCATGTGTTGAACTGCCCGCGCAAAAGGTTGGACCCCAACAAGGGCTCGCTGGGTTTGAGGGTTTAGGGTTTGATGGTTTAGGGCTTGAGGGTTTAGGGTTCGAGGGCGTGGTCCCCGAAATTGTACGCTACAATGCACCAAGCTCTTATCTGTCCACCTTTAAACCCAAAACCCTAAACCCTGAGCCCTAAACCCTCAACCCTAAACCCTAAACCTAAGCTATACTCCGAAAACCTAAGCCGTAAACCCTAAACCCCCCAGCCCTAAGCTTGCATCCCAAGCCTTAAGCCTGGACCGTTAAGGAATTTTGATTAAGTTACTATAATAAAGAAGCCCTGCAATGAACTCTATATATGTATTGGGTACCGCCCCCCCTCAGTAACAGTTGGATAATAATATAATATAATTGTATATAGCCCTTAATAGGACCCCTAATATAGACTATTACTGGGGGGGGGGCGGTACCCAATATATGTATAGAGTTTAAGGTACTATAATAAGGAAGCCCTATCACTTACTATATGGCCATATCATGTGTTAACTTAATTTAAGTTCCTGAACAGCAACCCAGTACTCTCTAACCACTAGAATAGGGAAGACCCGGTTTTTTCTTTTAAATCATATACACCATATTCAGCTAACTTAAGTTAAGTTCTGAACACCCTAAACCCTAAACCGTTCCTTAGCGGCAACTGGGCACCAGGACGACGATGTCTTTGCCCTTGTGAAAAATTGGGCTCCCGTCCTGAACTGCCACTTGGGACGGCATCAGTCCGAAAGTTGCAAGATGTGTAGGGTTTTGGGATTTAGGCTTAGGGTTTTGGGATTTAGGGTTTTGGGATTTGGGGTTCAGGGTTAAGGGTTTAGGGTTTAGGATTTCTTGGGATGGGAAGCAAGTGGTGCAGGGTCTAGCACCTCCCCCCCCCTAGCAATGAGCAGCAGGACGGATCCTGTCTGCCGCACTGTGCAGCCACCGTTCTGGCGGAAGCCATTCTGCTTGCTGAAGCCACCATAGGAAGTGATGAGACTCCAAGTCAATGAAGAGTTTCTCAGGGTTGTGAACTCTTTTCTTGCCTTGAAACACTATAGGGCACATGAGGAACCTTCATTGTAGTCCCTATATAACCCATGATAGTAGTGTCCATTTTCTTCCAAACCCTAAACCCTATAGTCCCCCTTGAGTGGATAGAATATGGGATATATGAGGATCTTATCATAACATGCCCAAAGCCATATTCCATCTACTTACGGGGGTCTATACCCCCTAAACCCTAAACTTTAGGAGGTGAGATAAGGAACCAAACCCTGAACCCTAAACCCTAAACCTAAACCCTAATAGAAGGTGAGATGAGGAATCTTCCGTCGTATGCTCCAGCTGAGGCCTGATTGACAAGTCTGGCATCAGGCGATTCAAGGTGCCCTGGCCACGCCCAACAGATTGAAGGGTTTAGGGTTTGGGGTTTAGGGTTTAGGGTTTTGGGTTTCGGTTTTGGGGTTTAGGTTTTCGGGTTTGAGGTGGATGGTTTAGGGTCTACAGTCCCCCTTAAGTAGATAGAATATGGCTTTGGGTATATTATAATATCCCCATATACCCCATATTCTATCTACTTAAGGGGGACTCTAAGAGTCTAAGGTATACGCTTTAGGGTTTAGGGGTTAGGGTTTGGGTATCAAGCTTTAAGGCTTAGGGTTCAGGGTTTATGCTGTGGGGTCTCAAGAGCCAGTGTCATGGTTAAGCTTCAGGGTCACTGAGGATTCCCAGGGATCTCCGTACATCTTGATAAGGAGTTTACCTTAATTGGTATTAGGATTCCTGTTTTGGATTAGGGTACATTCCTTAATTACTGGTTATTGGGCCCCATGGGTACTAAGTGTCACCACGGGAGTGCTAGGGGTGGATGATGGCGCTTCTAAGGTTGATTTAGTATGAGCCTAGATATTTTCCCACACGCCTCTTTGCCCTTGAGCTCCAGGGATTATATTGAGAGAAGCTCGCATGAATTATTATAGAAGTTATTGAGGGATACTAGGAGTTTAGACTAGCTGATATCTGGACTTCTGATGCAATCAGAAAAACCTACGCCCCCCAATGGGGTTATGGTTGGTTTCTAAGGTATACGCAGAGTTGTACATGGCTCAGAAATACCCGTGGACCTCCAAGTCGTGGTTTGTCGGACTAGACCACCCGTCCCTCCCAGCCATCCAATAAGCACTGAACCCTAAACCCTAAGTCCTAAACCTACCCGCTAGGTAGAGGCATTGCTGAAGCTACGCTGTGTGTAATTTACCGGCCATGCAGTGAGTTGTATGCATTCTTCTTCTCTTTATCCTTCTTGTGATCGCTTCTTTCTTCCCAACCCTAAGCTTTAAATCCTAAACCCCAAATCCGAAGTCCTAAACCTTAGGCCCGAAACCCCAAATCCTAAAACTTCAATCCTAAGTCCTAAGCCCTAAACCCCCTAAACGCTAAATCTTAAGTCCTAAATTCCCACCCTCCCTGCTTAGGCCACCCACCCTTCTGCAGGGTGCCTGGACCCAGAACTATATCCGGCAGTCATGCAGGCCTCACAAGAGTTGAAGTAGAGCATCAGCTGCACCTATGTCAGCCACCATTTTTTCTGTGACTTGGTCTGCCCCCCAAACCCTAAACACTAGATCCAAAAACAGTAATCATAGCAACAATCATAACACTAGCCATAATAGGAACGCCAGTAATCACAGTAACAAGAAGCCCTAAGTTTCAAGCCAAAAGCCCTAAACCCAGCATTGCTCTGCAGGTCAAAGTGCTGATCGAAGCCCAGAGAGCAGCTTACAAGATGGGATTGCCAAGGCACAGGGTTCAGGGTTTAGGGGGGCTGCTTAGGGTTCAGGGCTTGGAGTCTGTGGCTTTAGGATTAGGGTTTGGGGTCTGGGGTTCAGGGTTTAGGGCCTGGAGTCCGTGGTTGTTGGCTCCGGGTTCATGTCCTGAGTTTCAAGACGAGTTTTGTGTGTTGCTTTTGGCCTTGTATATCGTCTGTTTATTCTGGGCTTCGGGGCTTTGGCTTCAGGATCTAAATCTAGAGTCCCTGGTTCAGGTTCTAGTAGTTAGTGTCCGAGGAGTTTAGGGCGTAGGTTCCGGGGTGAGGGTCCGCGAGTTGACTTGTGTGCCAGCTGCAACCCCAGGCACAATGACAAGGAGCCCTATGGGCTCTTATTGTTGTCTTATGTGACCCATGGTCTAAACTCCTTAAAGG